GGAGTATTATTCTTATTTTGGGTCTGAGTCGAAAGTACGTGCTCTTACTGTAGCAAAGAATCTCTGGAGCTCAGAGCTATGTGACCGCTATCGCATTATTCATTCTGCTTTATAAACCTCGGTATGAGGCAAATTTATGTACAGAGAAAAATTTTTAATGCTTTTTACGCAGCAGCAGCAGCAGTTTGCAACATACACTGATGAGATCCTTTCTTTCTGTGTGTGTGTTCAGATTTCTGTCCGAATTTTCAAGTCAGCAGTCAAGAAGGCTTAGGCTAAAAATTTCTGGAGGATGTTTCTTGCCTGTGTGCATGCTTATAAATAGCGTGTTTTTGAACACCTGAAACTTTGAAGCAGTAAACTGTTCTAAACAGTAACCATCAGCTGGGTAGAATCGCACAAAAACGAGTGTCTGTATCGGCTTCACTGGCGTGCGCAGCACCACTTATGTCTACATAAATTTGTTTTAAAAATGTCAGTTGGTATCTAAATCTGACAGGTTTTTCCGGAAAAAAAAATTTACAAGTTACTTTTTACTTCAGCATTCCGTACGACCGGATCACCCACCGGAGGAGAGAGCAGTCGACATTTTTTGCCGTTGTCAAGGCGCTTTCACCTCCACCCCCTCCTCTCGCTTACCCCCCTCTCCCTTCCGCAACCACCTCGTCCCCTTTCCACTGACCAGTATCATTAGTTCGCTGCGCTGCCCTGAATAGCTGTCCTCTCAGTGTTTGCTCATCAGCCGATTACATGGTTTGCATTTAGGTTAAGCAAATTTAATCGGCATATTTAAGCCAGAAACACCTTTCTGGGTTCTTTGAAGTTAAGGCTTTGAGCTGGGGAAGCAGTCCAATGGTGGTTTAACGATGAAAGACTAAAATATGCGTAAAGTGTTGAAGCATACCAAGATGATGATATCCGGTTTCGGACCTTCAGCGGTTGCCTGGATTTCACTCAGATGCTGCGATAGCTAAAACAAAATTTCAAATTATCTCTTTTTAAAATTTTCCCGCAAAATCTCCTGCATTATTTCTTTGTTCTATCGATGCGTTCATCTCTTCCTAGTTTCTAATTAAACGGATCCCTTGTACATGTGGTAACTACTGCGATTTGATTTTTACACATGCAACTAAGTTCTTTCGTCCGTCTCTTCTCCCTTCTCTGTATTCGCCTCCCCACTTCTTTCTTTCAGCCAACTTCATTTTTTATACCACTAAATGACAATTTGTAAATTTCGTTCTGGTGACCTTAGCCTGATGGGCGAGCAGCTCGTGTTTATTCGGGCTCCAGTGCATTCGAGTCGAGCTGTATCCGAGGAACATGTTCTGATTGCCTGATGGTGGTCCAGTGCTGGCAGCAGTCGCTGCGGCCGTTGCTGCTGCTACTGCTGCAGTTGTTGACGTTGGCACCGCCATCTTTTAACTGCTTTACTTTGTCTATAATTTTTTATGTTATGATGACCCATCTTCGGATTTCAGAGATTTGACAGTTTTCATTCCTCTGGCAAGCACGGATTAGCGAGAAGTAGCACTGTTGTGCGGTAAATCGAGAGTTCGATACCTCGGATAGAGCTATCAGTCTCTCTCTCCGATTCGTTTATTCGTTTTGATAATACAGTGGTACTGCCAAGAGGTCAATCCGTCATCAGCTTCCTATTAGCCTTCAAAAGAGGGAGCCATCACAGACTTGCAAGTGGATGATTGCTATTGGCATTTGCTACCACACTGCCTAATTCCCGAATGCCTCTTGTTCTCGCTGAAAATGAATGCGGAAAGGTTTTGATTTGACTTTTAACCTTGCATAAAATTCTGATGCATCGAAGAATAGCTACTCTACCGATAAAATTATTGTCCAAAACGATTTAATTTCTCCAGGCAGCGAAACGCAGCGGATTTGCAGGTTTCCCGTCCTTTACAGTAGTTCATCTTAAGTGGTTTGAAAAAGTATTTTGATGTAAAACAGCTCGAACTTTCAAAACCATCGTACAGGAGAGCAACAATGCAGAGATACCAGCAAACTCCGCTCTTAATTATTTGAAAGATAGGCCCGGACGAGGCACAATTGTTCCAACCAATCACTTTTTGAGAAACACCAGGCTTACCGACAGTGCAGTATGACCGATGTTATTTTCAGTGATGTTTTCTGGAACTCGCAGCTCTCTTATATGCATTTCTAATTGAGCCATATATTTAAATGCATGTTTAGCAATACTTATATTTAAATAAGATCTTCAGTATACTTTTTATTATGTCTTGTATATTTACGCAAATGCGAAACGCATTATTATGACGTTCCATCATGTATGTGTGTGTGTTCGTCCAAGTATTTCAACTAGGTAACCAGGCAAGCTGAAGCTGAAATTCTACCAGTCGTTGTCCCATGAAATTGCGTTTCTTGACCAATCGTTGTCCAGCGAATTTGGCGCCACTTTTCAAATACGTCTGAACCCAAATTACGGACACATGAAACTTTTGGCAAGAGAACTGCTAACTCGGGAACTAGAAAAGCCAATTTTAAAGGGCTGTTTCCTGTTTACGTGCAACTTAAAGACTTCAGATTCAGCGCCTAAGCAGGCTGGTTCACACGTACAGGTATCTAAGATTTTCGGCAAGAAAATTGCTAATTTAGACTGTCGCCAAAGTTGATAGCTTCACCGAGTCCATATGAGAGGTAGAACCAACCAGTTAGGAAAGAGGGGCAGGAATTTATAGGACCTTTCATGTTTTTTTGATCGTTCCATTTACTCATGCTTCTTTCTTAACCCCCTTATTAACTTGCTCATTATTTTATGTTCAGTTTTTTGTAAGGTTTATTTGTCCAAATTTACAAGAAACCTCTCGACTTCTCAAGCATAAAAACAGCTCTTATTCACGATTACAATATCAGTGCAGATAGAAGTAAAAAAATTGTGACACGTGGGACCCAGAATTGCGCTAGGCGCATGGGTGCATTTACTAGAACTAACAAACTCTGATTCACAGTGAATTCATTGTAAGCAGAAGTAACAATGATTGTTCTAGAAGAAGTGATATAAAAATTATGTTATCTTACATGGTATAAAAACTATATTGTCCGGAAATATTAAATCCTTTGTTTCTAGTTTCGAAATTATTCAAATATAGGGGTCAATTTAAAGGGCACGCCTATGAAGACAAAGTTTGCTAGCAGCAATGAAAGATTAATCTTAGGGATTTTGGATCCTTCAGCAGTTTCGGGCGACATCTTGTCCATCCGGCAGGAAAGTCTCAAGCGAGAAAAGCAAGGGGCAGGCTGGAATAATAAATAGCAACTGAGCTGAATTGGACAGAACGATGACCAGCCGACAATTTACAGCTTTTAAGCAACGGAAAATTATATTTTATTGACTCGTAAAACACAGATCCTGCCAAGTTGAAGTGTTTACCAATTACAACCACTTTATTTCCCAGCTCATCCCTCTCTGTCTAATTGGTTAGAGTCCTGGCAGTGCATATCTCAGTGTCACAAATGAGGTATCTGTCTTGATATTTATGGTGTCGGTCATATCTAGATGATTAAGGATAATTAAGTGCTTGAAAGTGAGCAAACATACTCTTTTACGCTTTCTCTTTAATTATGGTACTGGTCCTTCCTCCCATTTTTTGGATATGAACAACTTCCGAGAACGCTTCATGCAAAAAAAAACAAACACATCAATCCCTAATTTTAAGTATTTTTCATATTCACACAAATTGGCTAGAACTGGCAAGCTGATACTTGTTTTCATACGACACGTTTCTAGCTACGTGTCCAGATCAGACAGAGGAGAATGAAATTCTGCGAGATTATTTATTGGCCTTGCAAATTCACTGGATTTTGAATTATTTCTTTACCAGAAACGGCAATCATACTGAGCGAGAAAAATATGCTCACGACGATCATTTAGAGCGCATCACTTCTTTGCTTAGATCAGTGTATCTCGAGTACCACAGCGAACTGCACAACATTGGACACAGATGTAGGGCTGAATAAAAAACACCCAGGAACATTCATACGTCCGAGCATAGCTTTCTTCCGAGGTCTTCTACGTCTGAGGTACTGACGGGAACACAGAAAGATTGACAAAAGAGAAAGGTCGGAAATAGCGCAGTTGTCACTTGGCGGTACCTAAGGAATAATCATTATTTTACAATCGTTTTTTGAACGTTTCGAATCAGTGTGCACTAACTGGTCCAAAACACATGAAGTTGCAGTTCTCAAAACAGCCTGCCTTGAGCTTCTTCCTGCAAACGCTTGGCGTTCTCCTGCATCCTGATTCGGCATTTGCACCGTTGGTATCGCAGCTGGCCCGGAATTCGGTGCTGGGCTTTGCTAGAGGTCGATTTTCTTTGCCGCCATCGTCTT